AACTTTATTTTTTTGCATGATATTGTGTGCGAGTCAAAACTCGATTTACTTAGTATTGAATAGTCACAGTTGTCGCAGGAGTAAGTTTTTATGGTTATAGGTACTTTCTTTTCTAACTCGTTTTGTGTCCTGTGTTTACTGTATATGTGCATTTGCAATGCTCGTGTATCTATTGTTGTAAAATCACAGTATACACAATTTTTTTTCAAACACGTTATTTTCATTTTTTTATCCACATTGTTTTGTTCTCGATGCATTCTGTAAACATGTTTTTGCAGGTTTATTTTGCGTTTTGTCGAATGGCTGCAATATGGGCATTCTATATTCGCAACTTTGTTAGAACTTTTCGTGCGAAGTATTGTTGTTTTAGTGGTTAGTTCAGCCCTGAAACAAAAGAATCTGATTTATTGTATTTTCAAAAGTTATATTTTGTTACGTTATTAATAAGTGTAAAGTGTCCGTTTTTCGAGGCTTATCTTATTCTGGTAGTTTTGAAAGCTAGCAAAAATATTTTGGCACTTAAAAAGTGACATAATAATGTTTGAATTAGAAAAGGCTATCTTCAAATGTTGGTTAATTTAATCAACTATGTATCGAAAAGTATTTTAGCAATGGAAAAAACTCGTAATATTTTTTTAAATAAAATTAAACAATTTTTTATTGCATTACGGGTTTAAATAAAAACACTCAAAACTATGATTATATGTTAGTTTAGAAAGAATACAATTTTTGAAATATTGCTATAATATACATATCAAACTAATCCAAATAAAATAAGGGTTTAAACTAGGGTCTACAATAAAACAAACCTATTTATAACCCTGGTTTTTATTAAAAATATTTACCGATACAGAAATCATGATGAATTTTGATAGTGTGGCAAAGCCCCCAAACCTTTATTAATTTATAAGTCTTATTCTTCAAAAAGGGATGCAAGGTATGCATAAAGTATTTATTTCATGTTATAAAAGTTATAAAAATAATTTCATTTAATCAAAGAAAATCTCCGTAACACTTGCTAAGCCAACCTAAAATCTATTTCCAACATTATGTACAATTGAACAAATTATTTTCTTTTCTTGATGTAGGTTCACCAACGACAAGAGAATGAAATAAATGCTTATTAAATGGTCTGACCAAAAACACAACGAACAACGTATAAATCCAGAGATAAAAGGATAAGTTTTCCTTGTGGAAATTTTTCTCTGAGAAAGTTTTAATAAGACTTTTGAAAGTCTTACTTTCTCTTAAAAAGTCTGAATAAGACTTATAAAGTCGAAAAAAGTCTGAATAAGTCAGACTTATAACAAGATTTGGGAGTCTTCTGGATTAAAATAAATATCCGGAATTATTCAGAGATGTTGTATTTGGTTATTGCAAAAGAAAGCACAATGAAAAGTTTTGTGTTGTTATAAGGCTTATAAAAACACGAAAGCAGTTTACAATGTAGGTAAACAAACTTTATTTTAATTGAACAGAATAAAACAGTTGGGAGATATGTTTGGTTTGTGTACATACAGATCCCTTGTTGATTAAGTTCATAAGGTATAATAACTATAACAATTCTTCGCAACGCATAGGCGTGATATGGTCGACAGTCGAACTCATACACAGATTATAAAACAAATATGGTTGGTCTAAAATTGCTTCATGTGTTTTATACAGTGTTGCCGGATGAATGTCATCAAAGTTCCCGACCAAAAATTACAAAATAATAAAAAAACTAGTTACTTAACTTAAACTTAAAAGAAAATAATGAAATTAATTTAAAATTTTTATATAAGTAAATAAAAATATAGAATAAAATAATTATGCATTTTAAGTAAACATACAATATTATTTACTGAAAGTTTCTTCAGTTGGTATTTTGATCGAAATTTGCAAAATATCCAATTTTACCCGCTTAAAAATTCTACCCGCAAACATGACGAAAATACCCGATTTCCGATTCAATAACCCGCAAACGGCAACACTTGGTAAGTAGTGACAGGAGAGCTATCTTGAAAACGCGGGAAGATGCCATCACATGACAGATCAGCTGCGCTCTAATTGGTCAGCTGGGAAAATCGGTATTGTGTCTAAAAAGTGTTTGGAACAATATGGCGGCAAGTATTTGGCGATTTTCAGTCTGTGCGAACTGCTAAAGAACAGACCTTGTTAAATTATGTTTTAACAGAAATTTATAAAGTTATATTTTTTTAAACTCAAAACAATTGATGGTCAAAAAATATTTTAAATATAAAATGCAACAGTAAAAATGTATGTTGAAAAATATTGATTTTTAAAAGTTTTGGTTGTAATATTTTATTCTACAAAATTATTGGTTTAAATTTTTAAAGAGTCATTTAAATGATAGTTGATAAATTTTTAATACAAAAATTCTCACATTACATTAAATGTAGGTAAGTTTTAAATTTTAAAGTAGTAATTTTTGGATTAAAAATTTATCGACTATCATTTAAATGACTCTTTACAAATTTAAACCAACATTTTTTATTTTTAACAAATTTAAAGTGATATATTTTTAAGACTAAATTTATAACTTTACATTTAAATGTAAGTCGATAATTTTTAAATTACAAAGTGTAAACGTAGCTTTAGTAGAAGGCACAAGAGTCTGGGATCGGAGCCACGATGCAGCCAGTTTGATCCGTTGATGTTTTTTAATTGTCGAATTAACTTAGTACAATAGGCACTAAACATGTTGTTGTTCTATTATTAAATTTATGTAATAAAGAAACATTTCATTACGATAATTTGTAAAACGCGTCAAATATTTATAGAGCAAGCACGATTTGGCAACACTGCGTCTTCTACTAAAGCTACGTTTACACTTTGTAATTTAAAAATTATCGACTTACATTTAAATGTAAAGTTATAAATTTTGACTAAAAAATTTATCAATTTAAAATTGTTTTAAAATAAAATCTATTATTGGTTTAAATTTGTAAAGTCATTTAAATAAATTTTTAATGAAAAAATTACCACTTTAAAATTTTAAACTAACACATAAATGTAATGTTCAAATTTTTTTATTAAAAATTTATCATTTACATGACTCTTTACAAATTCAAACCAATAATTTTGAAGAATAAAATATTAGAATTCCATTTTTTTTAAATTAATATTTTTAAACTTAAACTTTTACAGTTGCATTTTATATTTAAAATATTTTTTAATTATCAATAGTTTTGAGTTTCCAAAAATTTAACTTTTTAATCTATTTTGGTAGAAAATGTTTTATATGTGTTTTTATTTTAAATGGCTATACTATTTTTAAATACTAAAAAATTTAACTTTACCAAATTAATCTCAATAATTTTATAAAATATTTATTTAAGTTAACAAAATGCCACCCAAATAAATTATACTTGGGAAATTAGTTTTTTTTTAAATGGTAGTTAGAAATTTTTGCAAAAATTGATAGAAAATAATATTGTTTAATAAAGAAGTGAACTGTTGGTTAGTAAATTTTGTCTTTCAATACATGATAGTTGAAAATATTATAAATTTATAAATGTAAACCTAAAATTTTTTGTTGGGAAAATTTTAAACCAATAACATTTTGAATTAAAAAAATATTTAATAAATGTTAAAACGGCGTGCCATAGTTATGGGTGAGATGAATATTTGCGTATAAAAAGAAACTATTAAAATAACACGTACAGTGGCAACAATAAAAGCAAGTCAAGCGCATCGTATGTAAAAAATTATAATTGTTATAATTATTACACCTCACATATGTTAGTATATAGGTAATTCTGCAATAAACTTGGCTTATTACCAAAACGGCAAAATGTTAATAAATACTTTTCTTTGTGTTTTATTTTATAATAATCAAGTACAACCTCTCTAAATAATTCCGGATATTTATTTTAATCGCTATAGTTAGGTTCCTACCATTTCTCTGGTAAAAGTCTTATTAACTCTTATTCTTATTCAGACTTTTTCCTACTTAATAAGTCTTATTCTGAGAAAGAGAACGTAAGACTTTAAAAACTCTTATTTTAGATTATCAACTGTAACAAATCCTTTAACATTTCTTATTTTTACATTTTTCTTCATGAGCCATCATCTGTTTCTTTTTCAAAAATCTTAAGTCACAAAAACTACATTTGTCAATCTTATAAGTCAACTCAACCTTGTTTTCCTGTTCATTTTGTTCTTTGTGCTTGCTTACAACATGCAATTGCAAACATCTGGATTCTTTATAAAGCAGCTGACAATATGGGCAAACAAACTTCGGACTTTCATGGGTCTTTTGATGCCATTTTAGTTTTTTGCTCGTGTTTGACTTATATGGACACTGAAGGCATTTAAATGTGTTTTCTTCCTTTATTTTTTTGCATGATTTTGTGTGTGATAGAAAGCTTGTTTTTCTTACTGTTGTATAGTGACAGTTTTCGCAAGAGAAAGTTTTTATGATGACGGGTACTTTCTTTTCTAAATTGTTTTGTTCCTCGTGTTTCATGTGTATGTGCCTTTGCAATGTTCGGGTATCCATTGTTTTGAAATCACAGTATACACAAGTTTTTGGTAGTAATTGCACTTTATTTTCCACTTCATTTTGTTGCTTATGTTTTCTATAAACGTGACTGTTTATTCTTCGATTTTCCACCGATGAAAAGTCACAGTACAAACACTTAATACTGGGTGTGTGCCTACTAAGGTGTTTCTTTAGTTTTTCGTTTGTGTTTGACTTATATGGACACTGATGGCATTTAAATGTGTTTTCTACCTTTATTTTTTTGCATGATATGGTGTGTGAGTGAAAATATGTTTTGGTGACGGTTGAATAGTCACAGTTATCGCAAGAGAAAGTTTTTATGGTTATAGGTACTTTCTTTTCTAACTCGTTTTGTTTCCTGTGTTTACTGTATATGTGCATTTGCAATGTTCGTTCACTATCTACTGTTATAAAATCGCAGTACGAACACTTAATATTGGATTTGTGCCACCTAAGGTGTTTCAGCATTTTAAACCTTATAGGTGTTGTAAACCTGCAGTGTTCGCAAGTCAATATTGGCGCATCCAAATTCTTACAAACTTTAAAAGAGTGAATCTCCAAACTGTTCTTTGAAACCGTCGTGTAGTTGCATTTATCACAACTATAAATCTCACACGTTATTTCCATTTTTTTCTCCACATCGTTTTGTTCTCGATGCAACCTGTAAACATGTTTATGCAAGTCCTTCTTACGTTTTGTCGAATGGCTGCAATACGGGCAGTTTATATATTGCAATTCGTTAGTGGTGGGTTCAACCCTGAAACAAAAAAGCTGGTTTAATGTTTTTTTCGAAAATTAATGTTTTGTTACTTCAGTAACAAGGTATACACCGTATATACAGAGTATGAGATAATATATATGTTAAACGAATGAATTTTAAAGACTGGGTATATGAAGAAAGATTTTTAAATTTTTTATATTACAATTTTGAAAGAAAACACTAAAAACTATAATTATACTTTAGTTTATTCTTTAGCTTATAAAGATTACATTATATACCAAATAAAATAAGGGTTTAAACTAGGGTCCATAATAAAACAAACTTATTTATATCCATGTTTTTATTAAAAATATTTACCTCCAAAAACAATGATATTCATCAAACACTTGCTAAGCCAACCTAAAATCTATTTCCAACATTATGTATAATTGAACAAATTATTTTTTTTTCTTGATGTAGGTTCATCAATGACAAAAGAATGAATTAAATGCTTATTAAATTATGGCACGCCGTTAAAACATTTATTAAATAATTTTTTAATTTAAAATTTTATTGGTTTAAAATTTTCCTAACTAAAAATTTTGGGTTTACATTTATAAATTTATAATATTTTCAACTATCATGTATTAAAAGACAAAATTTACTAACCAACAGTTCACTTCCGTAATAAACAATATTATTTTCTACCAATTTTTGCAAAAATTTTTAACTAACATTTAAAAAAAAAAAATTTCCCAAGTATAATTTATTTGGGTGGCATTTTTTTAACTTAAATAAATATTTTATAAAACTATTGAGATTAATTTTGTAAAGTTAAATTTTTTAGTATTTAAAAATAGTATCAAGCCATTTAAAATAAAAACACATATAAAACATTTTCTACCAAAATAGTTTAAAAAGTTAAATTTTTGTAAACTCAAAACTATTAATAATCAAAAAATATTTTAAATATAAAATGCAACTGTAAAAGTTTAAGTTAAAAAATATTAATTTTTAAAAAATGGAATTTTAATATTTTATTCTTCAAAATTATTGGTTTGAATTTGTAAAGAGTCATTTAAATGATAGTCGATAAATTTTCAATACAAAAATTTGAAAATTACATTTAAATGTTAATTTTAAATTTTAAAGTGGTAATTTTTGTATTAAAAATCATTTAAATGACTCTTTACAAATTTAAACCAATAACTTTTAACAGTTTTAAATTGAGACATTTTTAAGACAAAATTTATAACTTTACATTTAAATGTAAGTCGATAATTTTTAAATTACAAAGTGTAAAGGTAGCTTTAGTAGAAGGCAGTGTTGCCAAATCGTGCTTGCTCCATAAATATTTGACGCGTTTTACAAATTATCGTAATGAATTTTTTCTTTATCATATCAATTTAATAATAGAACAACAACATTTTTAGTGCCTATTGTACCAAGTTAAAAAACATCAACGGATCAAACTGGCTGCATCGTGGCTCCGATCCCAGACTCTTGTGCCTTCTACTAAAGCTACGTTTACACTTTGTAATTTAAAACTTACATTTAAATGTAAAGTTATAAATTGTGTCTCAAAAATATATCACTTTAAATTTGTTAAAAATAAAAAATTTTGGTCTAAATTTGTAAAGAGTTATTTAAATGATAGTCGATAAATATTTATTCAAAAAATTACTACTTTAAAATTTAAAACTTACATTTAATGACATGTGAGAATTTTTGTATTAAAAATTTATCAACTATCATTTAAATGACTCTTTAAAAATTTAAACCAATAATTTTATAGAATAACATTATAACATTTATTTTTAAAATATTTATTGACCTTCAATTATTTTGAGTTTAAAAAAATATAACTTTATAAATTTCTGTTAAAACATAATTTAAGTGATAAACTTTAATTTTTAAACTTTTATTTAATAAATGCTAAAACGGGGTGCCATATTAAATGGTCTGACCAAAAATACAACAAACAACGTATAAATCCTAATCTAGAGATAAAAGGATAAGTTTAATAAATAATTATTAATTAAATTTTGTTTTTCAACTGTGAGAAATCCTTTAACATTTCTTCTTATTTTTACATTGTTTTTCATGAGCCATCACCTTTGGTTTCTTTAAACTTTTTAAGTCACAAAAACTACATTTGTGAATCTTATTGGTCAACTTAACCTTGTTTTCCTGTTCATTTTGTTTTTCGTGCTTAATTACAACATGCAGATGCAAATGTTTGGAAGTTTTATAAACCAACTGACAATATGGGCATAAAAACTTCGGATTTTCATGGGTCTTTTGATGTTTCTTTAGTTTTTCGTTGGTGTTTGACTTATATGGACACTGATGGCATTTAAATGTGTTTTCTACGTTTATTTTTTTGCATGATATGGTGTGTGAGTGAAAACATGTTTTACTAACTGTTGAATAGTCACAGTCATCGCAGGAGTAAGTGTTTATAGTTATACGTACTTTCTTTTCTATCTCGTTTTGTTCCTTGTGTTTCCTGTATATGTGCATTTGCAATGTTCGTGCAGTATCTACTGTGATAAAATCACAGTACGGACACTTATTATTGGATTTGTGCCACCTGAGGTGACTCTGCATTTTTATTTTTATATTTGTTGTAAACTTGCAGTGATCGCAAGTCAATATTGGCGCATCCAAATTCTTACAAACTTTAAAAGAGTGAATCTCCAAACTGTCCTTTAAAACCGTCGTGTAGTTGCATTTATCGCAACTATAAATCACACACGTTATTTCCATTTTTTTCTCCACATCGTTTTGTTCGCGATGCAACCTGTAAACATGTTTTTGCAACTCCTTCTTACGTTTTGTGGAATGGCTGCAATACGGGCAGTTTATATATTGCAATTCGTTAGAAGTTCTTTTGGGAGGTTCAACCCTAAAACAAAAATTAATATTTAGTTACGCCAATACCAAGGTATACACTGTATTCTATACAAAGTATGAGAAAATATATATGTTCAACGAATGGATTTTAAAGACTAGGTATATGAAGAAAGATTTTTAATTTTTTTATATTACAATTTTGAAAGAAAACACTCAAAACTATGATTATACTTTATGTGGTTTATTCTTTAGCTTATAAAGATTACATTATATACCAAATAAAATAAGGGTTTTAACTAGGGTCCAAAATAAAACAAACTTATTTATATCCATGTTTTTTATTAAAAATATGTACCTCTAAAACATATATATTATTCATCAAACACTTGCTAAGCCAACCTAAAATCTATTTCCAACATTATGTACAATTAAAAAATTATTTTCTTTGCTTGATGTGGGTTCATCAATGAAAAGATAATAAAATAAATGCTTATTAAATTAATTTAAAATTTCTTTGGTTTAAAATTTTCCTTACTAAAAATTTTGGGTTTACATTTATAAATTTATAATATTTTCAACTATCATGTATTGAAAGACAAAATTTACTAACCAACAGTTTACTTCTGTATTAAACAATATTATTTTCTATCAATTTTTGCAAAAATCTCTATCATTTAAAAAAAAATTTCCCAAGTATAATTTATTTGGGTGGCATTTTGTTAACTTAAATAAATATTTTATTAAATTATTGAGATTAATTTGGTAAAGTTAAATTTTTTAGTATTTAAAAATAGTATCAAGCCATTTAAAATAAAAACACATATAAAACATTTTCTACCAAAATAGTTTAAAAAGTTAAATTTTTGTAAACTCAAAACTATTGATAATCAAAAAATATTTTAAATATAAAATGCAACTGTAAAAGTTTAAGTTAAAAAATATTAGTTTTTAAAAAATGGAATTTTAATATTTTATTCTTCAAAATTATTGGTTTGAATTTGTAAAGAGTCATTTAAATGATATTCGATAAATTTTCAATACAAAAATTTGAACATTACATTTAAATGTTAACTAATTAGTTTTAAATTTTAAAGTGGTAATTTTTGCATTAAAAATCATTTAAATGACTCTTTACAAATTTAAACCAATAAGTTTTATTTTTAACAATTTTAAATTGATACATTTTTAAGACAAAATTTATAACTTTACATTTAAATGTAAGTCGATAATTTTTAAATTACAAAGTGTAAACGTAGCTTTTGTAGAAGGCACAAGAGTCTGGGATCGGAGCCACGATGCAGCCAGTTTGATCCGCAGTGTTGCCAAATCGTGCTTGCTCCATAAATATTTGACGCGTTTTACAAATTATCGTAAAGAAATGTTTCTTTATTACCTACCTTTAATAATAGAAAAACAACATTTTTAGTGCCTATAATAATTGTACTAAGTTAATTTGACAATTAAAAAACATCAACGGATCAAACTGGCTGCATCGTGGCTCCGATCCCAGACTCTTGTGCCTTCTACTAAAGCTACGTTTACACTTTGTAATTTAAAAATTATCGACTTACATTTAAATATAAAGTTATAAATTTTGTCTTAAAAATATATCACTTTAAAATTGTTAAAAATAAAAAAAATTGGTTTCTCGATTTTTATGTAAGAATGTCATATTCTCGCACGCAAAATCGTTAAAGAATGAAGCTCATTCTTAAACGATTTTTGGTAACATTTAGTTTTTAAGTATTGGTACCCCCAAAATGTCAAACTGTTTAATAACCTCAAATTCGTTACTTTTATTGAAAATGAAGCCTTTATTATTGTTTTGTAATATTAAGTTTGCTCCAACAATGCATTTTAATGCAAAATTTTAAGTTTTATGTGAAAAAGTGCAGTTCAGGTTGTACTTGTGCAGGATAACAAATATTGTCATTTTGTGTTGCCAACTGACATTTTGCGAGAAAAATCCCCCAACTAACAACGACCACAAAACAATTAAAAAAACCTAAATAAAAGTTAAAATCGAGAAAATAGTATAAATCACACGTTGCAGAAGGCTATTCTCGCACTCATTCATTCGTCCACTCGCTCCTTCGTCGCTCGAGGCCAAATTTCGAATTCGTGCGAGAATATGTGGCCTTCTGCAACTTGTACTTTAATATACTATTAAATTTGTAAAGAGTCATTTAAATAATAGTCGATAAATATTTAATTACTTCTTTAAAATTTAAAACTTAAATTTAATGAAATGTGAGAATTTTTGAATTAAAAATTTATCAACTATCATTTAAATGACTGTTTAAAAATTTAAACCAATAATTTTATAGAATAACATATTACAACCGAAACTTTTAAAAATCAATATTTTTTAACATAAATTTTTACTGTTCCATTTTATATTTAAAATATTTTTTGACCATCAATTGTTTTGAGTTTAAACAAATATAACTTCATAAATTTTTGTTAAAACATAATTTAAGTGATAAACTTTTATTTAATAAATGCTAAAACGGCGTGACATATTAAATGGTCTGACCAAAAATACAACACACAACGTATAAATCTTAATCTAGAGATAAAAGGATAAATTTTGTTTTTTTAACTGTGAGAAATCCTTTAACATTTCTTCTTATTTTTACATTGTTTCTCATGAGCCATCATCTTTGTTTTCTTTAAACCTTTTAAGTCACAAAAACTACATTTGTGAATCTTATTAGTCAACTCAACCTTTTTTTCCTGTTCATTTTGTTTTTCGTGCTTAATTACAACATGTAGATGCAAATGTTTGGAAGTTTTATAAACCAGCTGACAATATGGGCATACAAACTTCGGACTTTCATGGGTCTTTTGATGATTTTTTAGTTTTTGGTTTGTGTTTGACTCATATGGACACTGATTGCATTTAAATGTGTTTTCTGGCTTTATTTTTTTGCATGATATTGTGTGTGAGTGAAAACATGTTTTACTAACTGTTGAATAGTCACAGTCATCGCAGGAGTAAGTGTTTATAGTTATACGTACTTTCTTTTCTATCTCGTTTTGTTCCTTGTGTTTTATGTATGTGTGCATTTGCAATGTTCGTGCCTCCATTGTTGTAAAATCACAGTACACACAAGTTTTTGGTAGTAATTGCACTTTATTTTCTACATCATTTTGTTGCTTATGTTTTTTATAAATGTGACTCTTCATCCTTCGATTTTCCACCGATGAAAAGTCACAGTACAAACACTTAATACTGGGTTTGTGCCTACTAAGGTGTTTCTTTAAATTTCCGCTTTTGTTTGACTTATATGGACACTGATGGCATTTGAATGTGTTTTCTAATTGTAGTTTTTTGCATGATATTGTGTGTGAGTGAAAACATGTTTTAGAAACTGTTGAATAGTCACAGTTATCGCAAGAGTAAGTGTTTATAGTTATAGGTACTTTCTTTTCTATCTCGTTTTGTTCCTTGTGTTTTCTGTATATGTGTATTTGCAATGTTCGGGCAGTATCTACTGTCATAAAATCACAGTACGGACACTTATTATTGGATTTGTGCCACCTGAGGTGACTCTGCATTTTAAACTTCATAGTTGTTATATATGTGCAGTGATCGCAAGTCAACATTGGCGCATCCAAATTCTTACAAACTTTAAAAGAGTGAGTATCCAAACTGTTCTTTGAAACCGTCGTGTAGTTGCATTTATCGCAACTATAAATCTCACACGTTATTTCCATTTTTTTCTCCACATCGTTTTGTTCTCGATGCAACCTGTAAACATGTCTTTGCAAGTCCTTCTTACGTTTTGTCGAATGGCTGCAATACGGGCAGTTTATATATTGCAATTCGTTAGAAGTTCTTGTGCGAGGTTTTCTCTTTTTAGTGGTGGGTTTAACCCTGAAACAAAAAAGCTGGTTCAAGGTTTTTTCGAAAATTAATATTTAGTTACGACAATAACAAGGTATACACTGTATTATATACAAAGTATGAGAAAATATATATGTTCAACGAATGGATTTTAAAGACAAGGTATATGAAGAAAGATTTTTAATTTTTTTATATTACAATTTTGAAATAAAACACCCAAAACTATGATTATATTTTAGTTTATTTTTTAGCTTATAAAGATTACATTTATACCAAATAAAATAAGGATTTAAACTAGAGTCCAAAATAAAACAAACTTATTTATATCCAAGTTTTTTATTAAAAATATTTATCTCTTAAAACAATGATATTATTCATCCAAGCAAAAAAGTGTACAGTGTATTATGTAATATCAAGAAAACTTTTAAAATTATTCAAAATCGGTTAGTAGGTACTTTGTTATCATTAATTACTGACAGTTTGGTTATTATTGTGATTTATTTGGGGCTACATAAACAGTTTCCCTGATAGCACACTTTATTCTAAGAATGTTTTTTTAAACCTTCCAGCAGGAATATTCTTAGGATCATGCTATATTTCTTCTAAAGAACATGCTTAATAGAAATATAGCATGATCCTAAGAATATTCTTACTGGCCTATAGGCAGGTTCTTAGAAGGTAAAAATTAGTCTACTCTAAACATGCTTAGAATGTTAAGAAAGTAATTGCTATAGAAAGTTCATTTAGGAATATTGCTGTTAAGCATATTTATATAAAAGTAAAATATACCATAAACTACGTATAAAGGTATACTTATATTAGTAATTAGTTTTAAATAGTAAAGTAAGTAAGTAAATAGTAAAGTAAAAAACACAATCCAAAATATTTTTTTATAGTTATTTGTCAAATTAAAACAATATTCGATAACAAAAATACTTTAACTATAGGTACTTTATTTTATGTTAAAAATAAATATTTATTAATTTGTATACCGATTTTTTATTTCTGAATTAACATTTTCATGTATAATAATCCTAACTATCTTCAACTTCAATCTAATCTGACTTATCCCACAAAATTTTCCAATTTTACTCTTTATGAAATAATGTCATAATAATGTTATATGTTATTATGGTTTAGAGGTAAAATCGTTTATTTAATATTTTTAAATACATATATTAATATGTCGCAAAATTGTTTAAGGGGACGACAAATACATTTCACTGTCATATTATGACAGTGAGGCGTATTTGTCTCATGAAGAATTTTACGAATGTAGAATACAACATATTAGAACGTGGACATATTTGAGAATATTCTCAAAAGCTTCCTAGAAGCTCCATAAGAAACCTTCTAAGAACGTATTCTTAAAATGTTCTTGGGATGCTTTTTAAGAAGCTTTTAAGAATCTAATTGCATCATTAAAAGGGTATAAATTGAATGTTTTAAAAGTCCCTAAGAACATTCTTAGCAATAAGGGAAGGTTCTAAGAATATTTCATTATTCCGGGTCATATCTTCTTCACATGACCGCTAGGTGGTACTGCATGTGTGAATTAAATTATTTTATTATTGTAAATGGCTACAGTTATAAATTGCTCGCTATTTTTTTTTTGTTGTCAGTTGTTTACCGGTGGAAACTTTAACCTAAAATTCACAACATGGGATACTTTTAATAAAAAGATGTGAAATCACATGAATTTTTTTTTTTAAACCCTTTTAAGTTTTATGTTTATGCACATAAAGCACTTTCTTCATCATTCTGGCATATTTGACCAAGTTACCTAAAAGAAAAAAGTCAGTTGAACTAAATCCGAACAATTTTTTTTCAAAATTAAATGAGAATCTTAAAAGATACTAAAAACCACCCATAAAGCAATCATATACAGCGACAGCTGTGAGCGTACGCTAATCAGCTCCATCTGTTGTCTTAAGAACATACATACGTAGCAGGAGTAAAAAACATACGCCACTACGGCCCAAAAGACAAAATGTGTTTTAATTTTGAGAAAAGAGCGTTAACTAACATAAATTTTTTAAACGTTAAAAATTAGGTGACAGTTGAAGATTTTTACTAAAACATATTAAATGCAGTTTAAATTTAATTAATTCTTTATTTAATCAAACAAAATCTCCATAACTCCATCCCAACCTAAAACCTATTTTTAACATTATGTACATTGAACTAATTATTTTATTTTCTTCTGACCAGAAATACAACAAACAACGTATAAATCTAAATCTAGAGATAAAAGGATAAGTTTAATAAATAATTATTAATTAAATTTGATTTTCAACTGTAACAAATTCTTTAACATTCCTTCTTATTTTTACATTTGTCTTCATGAGCCATCACCCTTGTTTTCTTGTAATCTTTTAACTCACAAAAACTACATTTGTGAATCTTATTAGTCAACTTAACCTTGTTTTCCTGTTCATTTTGTTTTTCGTGCTTAATTACAACATGCAGATGCAATTGTTTGGAAGTTTTATAAACCAGTTGACAATATGGGCAAAAAAACTTCGGACTTTCATGGGTCTTTTGATGATTTTTTAGTTTTATGTTTGTGTTTGACTTATATGGACACTGATGGCATTTAAATGTGTTTTCTTCCTTAATTTTTTTGCATGATTTTGTGTGTGATAGAAAGCTTGTTTTTTTTACTGTTCTATACGGACAGTTCTCGCAAGAGAAAGTTTTTATATTGACGGGTACTTTCTTTTCTAAATTATTTTGTTCCTTGTGTTTCATATATATGTGCGTTTGCAATGTTCGGGTATCCATTGTTTTGAAATCACAGTATACACAAGTTTTTGGTAGTAATTGCACTTTATTTTCTACATCATTTTGTTCCTTATGTTTTCTATAAATATGATTTTTTATCCTTCGATTTTCCACCGATGAAAAGTCACAGTACAAACACTTAATACTGGGTGTGTGCCTACTAAGGTGTTTCTTTAGTTTTTCGTTGGTGTTTGACTTATATGGACACTGATGGCATTTAAATGTGTTTTCTACCTTTATTTTTTTGCATGATATGGTGTGTGAGTGAAAACATGTTTTACTAACTGTTGAATAGTCACAGTTATCGCAGGAGAAAGTTTTTATGGTTATAGGTACTTTCTTTTCTAACTCGTTTTGTTTCCTGTGTTTATTGTATATGTGCATTTGCAATGATCGTTCAGTATCTTCTGTTATAAAATCACAGTACGAACACTTAATATTGGATTTGTGCCACCTAAGGTGTTTCCGCATTTTAAACCTTATAGGTGTTGTGAACCTGCAGTGTTCGCAAGTCAATATTGGCGCATTCAAATTCTTACAAACTTTAAAAGAGTGAATCTCCAAACTGTTCTTTGAAACCGTCGTGTAGTTGCATTTATCGCAACTATAAATCACACACGTTATTTCTATTTTTTTCTCCACATCGTTTTGTTCTTGATGCAACATGTAAACATGTTTTTGCAAGTCCTTCTTACGTTTTGTCGAATGGCTGCAATACGGGCAGTTTATATATTGCATTTCGTTAGAAGTTCTTGTGGGAGATTCAACCCTAAAACAAAAAAGCTGTTCAAGATTTTTTTTCGAAAATTAATATTTAGTTACGACAATAACAAGGTATACACTGTATTCTATACAAAGTATGAGAAAATATATATGTTAAACGAATGAATTTTAAAGACAAGGTATATGAAGAAAGATTTTTAATTTTTTTATATTACAATTTTGAAAGAAAACACCCAAAACTATGATTATATTTTACTTTATTTTTTAGATAATTAAGATTACATTTATACCAAATAAAATAAGGATTTAAACTATAGGGTCCAAAATAAAACAAACTTATTTATATCCAAGTTTTTTATTAAAAATATTTACCTCTTAAAACAATGATATTATTCATGCAAGCAAAAAAGAGTATGCGCACAGATAATACACTAGTGGTAGTATCAAGCAAACTTTTAAAATTATTCAAAATCGGTTAGTAGGTACTTTGTTATCATTGATTACTGACAGTTTGGTTATTATTGTGATTTATCTAGGGCTACCTACACTGTGGTGTAAAATGTTATCTTAAAATGGTGTCTAAATCCAACACCAAGTGGTGTTAATATAAACGCCATGAATTATGGTTGAAAATGTTATATACAGCAAACACCAAAACGGTGTTTATCTAAAAATATTTGTGAAGTGCACCTACACAGAAAAAAAGAAATAGTTAAATAAACTATATTAAACTATATTAATTTAATTGATCCATAAGTATTTATTTAAATCAACTGTGGGAAGGTTAATATAAACAAAGATTAGTTTGACGGTACTAAACCAGATAGTTATTTTTTTTAAATTGGTTAAATTAACCCAGAAAACTTTAGTGAAACTAGTTTACAAAATTTGTTGTTTGTAAAATAAGAGTTACTTCAACCTAAAGCACTCTGTTAAAACGATTAAAACAATTTGCCGTGCATTCCTGGTTGCATAGTATGTACCGGTCGCGGCAAAGGCGGTGTGTATCACGTGATGTTCTTAAATCTCGCCTCTGTTGACTTACATGAAGAGTATATAAGCTCAGGTAGTCCTTTGCTTTGGTGTGACACTACAAGTTGTTCGATACTAAAGAGACCTTAAATAGGTGGAAACAGCTGTAAATACTTAAAGTATTTTAAGTTTGTGGAACGCACTAAAAACATTCAATTTTCTTGAATAATACCACTGGAAACATACTAGTAATGCGACAAGGAACTTCCTGTTTCTTTTTTTTTCTTTGTAGTATGATTTATCTTGACCAAAAACAGATAATATTTAAAACTGAAAAGGAGTTCAATTTACACCAGGTAAAGATTATTTTAATACTATGTGAAAGTTAAATTTACACTATTTTAGTATTTGAATTTACACTGGACCAACGAACCATATTTAATACCATTTTGGTTTGTATCAATATAGACCATGTATGGTGTATGTATGGTGTTAAAATGGTAATGAAATTTTGAACAGTGTATTTTTAACAAACTATTTTGTTGAAAAAGTACACGTGATTTCAGGAAGTCAATCAAAACATATAAAAACAAAAGCAACAAAATGTGTTTTAATTTTAAGAAAAGAGCGTTAACTAACATAAATTTTGCAAAACGTTTAAAATTACGTGACAGTTGAAGACTTTTACTTAAACATATTAAATGCAGTTTAAATTTAATTAATTATTTATTTAATCAAACAAAATCTCCCTAACACTTGCTAACCCAACCTAAAATCTATTTTCAACATTATGTACAATTGAACAAATTATTTTCTTTTCTTGATGTAGGTTCATCGACGACAAAAAAATTAAATAAATGCTTGTTAAATGGTCTGACCAAAAATACAACAAACAATATTATATTGTTTATTATACTTAACCTTTTATCTCTATGTATATTTATACTATAATAGTATAAATATACATAGAGATAAAAGGTTAAGTATAATAAATATTTATAAATTAAATTTCGTTTTTCAACTGTAACATTTCTACCTTTCTCTACATTTTCCTTCATGATCCATTACCTGTTTCTTTTCTAAATATCTTGACTCACAAAAACTACATTTGTAAAACTTATTAGTAAACTTGACCTTGTTTTCCTGTTCATTTTGTTCCTTGTGCTTATTTATAACATGCAATTGCAAAGATGAGGATTTTTTATAAACCCGCTGACAATATGGGCAAAAAAACTTCGGACTCAGATGGGTCTTTTGATGCCATTTTAGTTTTTGGTTGGTGTTTGACTTATATGGACACTGAAGGCATTTAAATGTGTTTTCTTCCTTTATTTTTTTGCATGATCTTGTGTGAGATAGAAAGCTTGTTTTTCTTACTGTTGTATAGTGACAGTTTTCGCAAGAGAAAGTTTTTATGATGACGGGTACTTTCTTTTCTAAATTGTTTTGTTCTTTGTGTTTCATGTGTATGTGCGTTTGCAATGTTCGGGTATCCATTGTTTTGAAATCACAGTATACACAAGTTTCAAGTGGTAATGGCACTTTGTTTTCTACATCATTTTGTTGCTTATGTTTTCTATAAATGTGCCTATATATCGTTCGATTTTCCACCGATAAAAACTCACAGTACAAACACTTAATCCAGGGTGCGTGCCTAGTAAGATGTTTTCTTAGTTTTTCGTTTGTGTTTGACTTATATGGACACTGATGGCATTTAAATGTATTTTTTAACTTTATTTTTTTGCATGATATTGTGTGTGAGTAAAAACATGTTTTAGTTAATGTTGAATATTTGCAGTTATCGCAGGAGTAAGTTTTTATGGTTATAGGTACTTTCTTTTCTAACTCGTTTTGTTCCTTGTGTTTTCTGTATATGTGCGATTGCAATGTTCGTGCAGTATCTGTTATGCCATCTGTTATGAAATCACAGTACGGACACTTATTATTGGATTTGTGCCACCTAAGGTGTCTCTGCATTTTTATTTTTATATTTGTTGTAAACTTGCAGTGATCGCAAGTCAACATTGGTGCATCTAAATTCTTACAAACTTCAGAACAGTGAATATCCAAAGACTCCTTTGAAACCGTCGTGAAGTTGCATTTATTGCAACTAAAAATCACAACCGTTATTTCTATTTTTTTCTCCACATCGTTTTGTTCTCGATGCCTGGTGTAAACATGTTTTTGCAAGTCTTGTTTTTGTTTTGTCCAATGGCTGCAATACGGGCATTCTAAAACTTTGTTAGAAGTTCTCGTGATTGGTTCATCCCTGGAACAAAAAAGCTGGTTCATTTTTAAAAATTTATAATAAGTTTATTGTCATCAATAATAAAACATGACATGTCAAATACAATGGGTAGATAAAAAAGTAGTAAGCACAAAAGTAGTATATATAAAAAAAAAATTACAATATTACAAATTACAATCAGTATATATAAACATTTACAGTTACATGGTGAAATTTGTACATAAAACCAAACTAGCACAATAAATAAAACTAAATGAGTTTGACCTACACTTTTATTGTGTTTTGATCTTTCATAATTAAGTACATATTACAGCTCAGGTTCCAGATTTTTAACCGCAATTAATTATTTTTTACAATGTTTTAAAAGTCTAAAACCTATCCTCCTTTCTAGGTTAACATATATGATTTCAAATATCTGAGGTAGTAAAAGCATACTAAAAATATCAGTTCAGTAAGTAAATTAAACACATCCAAAGCAATCGAATCAAATATAAAATATTATTAAAAATTAAAAGAATTAATTTTTATAATCATTTAGGTAGGTGTTACAAAAATTGATTATATCCTCCGTGAATATGTTTTTGCTTTAAATTGTATGCAACGGATGGCGCTTTAATCATTTTAAATAAGCAAAAACCTTTGTTTACGACATTATAGATGCATGTGATTCCTGAAGGTCAGTTAGAATTTATATGCAGATTAATGAAAGTATTTTTCGGACAAGGTGGTAAAATTTTCAATGGAATCAACGGTTTATCATACCTACACTGAAAAAAGGTGCCCTTAAACTAAAGTAGTCAACTATCTTGATAAAAAAATATTAGCTCTTGAAAACAAATACAAAATCTCTTGAATGTTTCTTCTTTTAACCTATTACAAAGTGTTTTTGTTTAAAAGCTATGAAAATTATTTATGTATATAATACATCACAATTATACCAATAGCATGTCAATTTTCTAACAAAATCTGGTAGCTTCTGATACATGGGAGGGGATGCAAAAAGCGCACACCGTTTGCGGCACACGTGTTTAGTACGTTTTGTATCATTGCAACTTGCAATTCGCAAATTTTCTGGGGGCAGTGATATAATATTATAATTCTATTATAGGTATTTCTAATATACATTTTGCCGGTTGTGTTGTGGCGTGTTGTATGTACTTTCACAGTGGAGTTGGAATAATTAAAACTCTTTTTAAATAAATAAAATTCAATTAATTTGTTTAATGTTTTTGAAGATAAATTATTAATTAAAATATGTAATAAATATTTTATGTTAAATGTTTATTGGTGTTAGTATAAATAAACTGACATTTATTGTTTGATATCAAACCAAAGATTAAATATACTCTTTCTCCAGAAAGAGTAAATATACTCTTTAAGCTTAAATATTAACAACGCTGGTAGTTTCAGTGAAGATCAGAAGCTTTTGAATAAAGCAATACATACTATTGGACCAAGAGATGTTTGCTCTAAAATCAAAATAAAATGTGGTTAGGTCAATAGAAAGTTCCCAAGCTTTTCAATTAAGAAATGCAGCTTCTTGTTAAAATCCCATTTTTTTTAATCAAAAGAAATATCTTTAGTTAAATTTACTAAACATATTTCTACACCCTTTCAATACGTGAGCATTGTTTTTAGTCCTTTCAATATATTAGGTTGAGGAGTTTGAAATTGTAACTTTGGTGCATTAGTGCCTACTAACATGGCTGTCGACGTTTATCCCGCCCCTTCAACACATAGACGAGTTGCCTACTAAATCGACCGTGTATGGTTTCTGGTTAAATTAACATATCACATTTAGCGCAATGTAAAATGTAATTTTGCTACTGTTTAATTAAACAAGTAAGTAAACACAACATAGGGTCAAATTTATGTAAGACATTTTTATAAAACAGGTTTTAGCGAGTCTGGGGTAAGGAATAGAAGGAATAGTAAATAAATACAAAGTTAACAAAATTCGTTTATCAATATTGTGTTTACAGTACTAAAACTACAAACTCTTTGTTATTAACAAGAATAGATTCAATAGTCACGCAAACAAAATTGTACGTAATTTTTACCAGTTTTTTAAAGGTGTGTTAACATTAGTCGAATATGGACAGTAGGGACATGCCATTTAAGATTTTATTTTAACCTTACTGTTCTTACAACTCTTTTCGTGTTTCTTAACGTAACTTTGACCCAATGCACTAAGCGAACAAAAATTACAATTAAAAATTTTGGCGGTTATTTTAACTTTATTTTCAGAATCGTTCTGTCATTTATGCATTGAATGTACATGCATTTCAAGGTTTCCTTTTTTGCTAGTCAAGTATTCACAATAGGGGCATTTCTTTTTTTTTTCGATCTGTTTCTTCATGTTTTTTTTATGTAAATATAAAACATTTTCATTTATCAGTACACTGTTCAAAATCAAGCCTTTTAAAATACCTAAACAGAATTAGTTAAGGAAAAATAAGGTAATATGCTTAAACGAGTAAAGCAATTTACCTTCTCGTTTATTAGGCAGAAACTAATGCCTTAGTTCTATAGCGTATTCACTAACTTCTAGATAAATATTCATATTTTACTTAATAAACTTGTCAAATTTAAAAAGATAGGCAGATTACCTAAATATTTAGTCAAAATCTCAATTACTTTTAGGTACTACAATTTTGCTTTTAATTTAGGTAGTTCTTCCAAATTATTATGGCAAATTATTAAACAAATTTAGGTAAATTGATTTAAATATTAGTGACTTACTACGATCGCTAATACCGACGTTTTACGATAAATATTCGCGCCTATATTGTCCACCATAATGCCAAAATCAACGAAAGCGTAAAGACCGCGTTGTGTGCTATTGATATAACAACATAGTTAACAATTATTGTGCTATAAGTGAACATTTTGTAGTTAAGTAATCCAAACCAAATGGAATTTCCCATTGACCCCAATTTATTTTTAACCCTGTAGTACTGGAACCGCCGTTGTTAATTTGCCTAGAACATAAAGATAAAGGAGTCCTAACTTGGAAGAAAATTCCTATGCCAAAAGAAACTTTATTAAACTTATAAAGTAGGTATAAGTATTATTAAAATTATAAATTAGCTAGGTATTATTAAAATAAACGTAATTCCTTTTTGTTACTTTTCTTTTTTTTTATTTATACAAATTTATTAATATACATTTTCAATTTAACTAAAATAAATGTATTTTTTATTTTACCCATCAGCACTTAAAAGGGGAATTTATAATGTCATTCTTTTTTCATTTACATTGCTCGATATAGGGATAAAAACTACTAGGTTATCGGTAACTTTTTACAATAATATTTAACATTTACAATAGTATATTTCCAAAATAGTATATTACCAAAGCAATGCGTGAGAATAAAAATGACATTATAAATATCTTCTCTCCTAAATGCCCCCACCGCCAATTCTTGTTCCCCTTATATTTTTGTCTAATGAAATAGTGGAATTTCACTAGAAAATAAGTAGAATTTTACTAGAAAATTAGTTAAACTTCACTAGATAATTAGTGAAATTTCACTAGAAAATTAGTAGAATTTTTTAGGGTATACCAATTATCTAAAAAAATTAGATAAATTTACCGTTAAAAATAAGAGGATTTTCACTAAAAATATATATGATTTGCTAATTATTTTATTCTCAGTTAATATCCCTTACGATCTAAGGTGTATCATCTTTGAAACCTAAGTGATTTTGCTTAATTAATTGTATTATTTTCTTTAAAAATATCAGTTAAAGAATTCACTAATTTAAAAGGGGAATATTCCTCTAAATTCAACTCAAGCAGTTTGCCTTAAAAAATCAATGGTCCTATATAGTCTAATATTTTAGGTAAAAATTAGCTAAAATTTTGAACAGTGTAGTAAATATACATAGGCCGCATTTCAAATTATGTTCGTTTTTAATTTCTATAAAGTGCCCTTGAGAAAAATGATCGAATGGTTTTAATTCTTCATCTACTTTGATTATAGGTCCTCTAGAAGAAAAAATCGGTGTTAGTGTTTCTATATTTGTATTAAAAATTTCAGAGGTTATGTTGAAAAAATGATCGATATGCTATTAAACTTTAATAATTTAGTAATGAGGTCTGTTGTTAGACCCTGCACGTCTCCACTGATAGTTTTATGTTATGTATATTTAAATCTACGAACAAATTAATTAATTGCCCATTTTTTTTCAAGCATAATATAAGTTTCATATTAATACTAGTTCAAAAGTCAAATTACGACCTCTATACTGTGGTATTGAGTATTGAAACGCTCGACTGACGAATACAACTCTATACCGTGGCGAGGGTTTAGAATACTGTATTCAAACGTGGCGTCATCCAATACACTTCTATATTTTTCCGTTTGCTGTGTAGGTTTATCGACGACAAAAAAATTAAATAAATGGTATGACCAAAAATACAACAAACAACGTATAAATCTAAATACTTAACAAATGATATCCTTTAACATTTCTACATGTTTTTACATTTTTTTTCATGAGCCATCCAGTTTTTTTTATCTACATATCTTAAATTACAAAAACTACATTTGTAAATCTTATGAGTAAACTTGACCTTGTTTTCCTGTTCATTTTGTTGTTTGTGATTAACTATAACATGCAGTTGCAAAGTTCTGGAAGTTTTATAAACCAGCTGACAATAAGGGCAAACAAACTTTGGACTTTGATGGGTCTTTAGATGCCTTTTTAGTTTATTGTTTGTGTTTGACTTATATGGACACTGAAGGCATTTAAAAGTCTTTTCTTCCTTTATTTTTTTGAATGTATTTTTGCATTTTTTTTTGTGTGTGTAGAAGGTACTTTTTTTTACTGTTGAATAGTCGCAGTTATCGCAGAAGTAAGTTTTTATGGTTATAGGTACTTTCTTTTCTAACTCGTTTTGTTCCTTGTGTTTTCTGTATATGTGCATTTGCAATGATTGTGTATCTACTGTTGTGAAATCACAGTATACACAAGTTTCTAGTAGTAATTGCACTTTATTTTCTACATCATTTTGTTGTTTATGTTTTGTATAAACGTGC